AAYMATMMTGTGACATCATARTGAAATATGGCAATTCAGCTTGGGTTGTTTAATTAGCATAAATCCATGGTTGCAATATAATTTCATATTAGGTTTTTTTAACCCAGGATTAATGTTTTTAGAGCTTTGAACAACCTTGATCTGCTTATCTTTGGCACAAGATAGCATAACTGTCGAGTTGACATAGTATTGGTCATTATTAATGAACTAATTAAATTATTAATCCTCAAGTCTGAGACCATGTCATGAATGTATGGACAGTCTACAATGCTGAACATGAATTCCCTAAAATGATACATAAATTATATTATAGTGTGATTGTGCCATTTTTTTATATTACCAAATAAATCTCTTTTATCTGTTGAAGTCCTTATTTCCTCTTTTTTAAATTTTCTTCAGTATTTGTTTTGCATCATTCTTATTCCTATTTTTCTTGGTTCAGAGTTTTTTCAGAGGTATTTCCGTTGGGGATATGGAAGGAATTGCGGTAATAAAACTAGCAAGACTACATGAACATCTTGAAGAAGAAGATGATGCTTCCAAATATTACCTACGTTACATTGAACAGGCTGAAACTATAGGAGTGAGTCAATTGTTAGATCAATCTTGTGTTACCACATCTCTCTCACATTACTTATGTTGAACAAGCTGGAACTATACTATTTGGAGTGAGTTGATAAATCAGTCACATATTATCCCACCCCACCCACTTAACATTACTTAGTGCATGTTGAACAAGCTGAAACCAAAGGTAGTCTCCTTGCAGTCGTCCTTATCGACAGGGAGCCCACCACTAAGAATGGCGGCTGCAAGGAGACTAAAAGCAAAGGCTGAAGTAGGTGAGATCGATCTAATTACACTACAATCTCATCCCTCTTAGCTTCTAAAGCAGACATTTTTAGCGGTTCGATTACCGTATCTCCACACATAATTGAACCACTAAAAATGTCTGCTACACAGGCCACACCCTTCTCACATTGGTTACTTTCTATAATAATATATATTCTATCTTTTTATTATTTTCAGGTGATTTCTGTTGAGGATCTTTGTATTGCTTATAAATTTATGGCAAGATTTTACCTAAAAAGAAAAAAGCTTGAAGATGCAGAGACATATGCACACAAGTGCTGTGAATATAATGAGGTAAAGACCATGTTACAGCTAAAATAGCTCTATATCCATCTCCTAAAAACTGAATGAACAAAATAATTAGGGTGAATKRARGGTTCTTATAGTCTACATGGCAGCTCTAGGGGAGGGCAGGTAGGGGGRCTGGCAGCCCATTCCCCATCTCCCAATGCCACYAYGTAAACAAGGGGCAGGCACTAGTGCCAAACAATTTCACAGATGAACTTCAGGCTTAAGTCTGTTGATAATTTGTTTCAAGCAMATTCCTTTYAATCAAGMCTCAAAAGTCTGTCAAGGGAAGAGTTATGGAAAAATACCTATTTTTGTTTACACTGTTCRAGTTTGCAGATTTATAGAAAAATTCAGTAAGATATAATTCGGTATTCCCATCATGTCTTCCAGAGTCGTGAGGAGGGTAAAAGTCTTATGAGGGAGATATCCCTTGCAAGGAGCAGAGGAGAGGGACAGGTTGACACTTCAGAGATTTTTACACATGATGATAGTCAGTTACAAGATATAATGTCAACATCAGCTGTTAATCCTGTGTCACCAATGAACTTGAATTTCAATACTCCTTGAGTGTCAGTACTTCTCAGAAATGGCTTTTAATCAAATCAAAATTGTGCTGGCGGGACGTGGTCCTTCTGCGCAGTCCATCCTTTAGGGGGACTGAAAGGTACAAAGAAAAGTGTGAGTGATATAAGGAATGGTTTAGTTGCCTTGGGAATAAATTTGCCAACTGTAAAACTGCACACCTCTGTATAATATATATGGTCTRTCTGTCCATAGTCAATTATGGTATAAAAATAAGAAAAGACAAGTCAAGATAATATTTTGAAGCTGGCGTTGATTAATTAGTTGTAATTCTTTTTAACCAGGATAGTTTAGAGAATAGGATGATATATTGTGTAATAAAATTGAAGAAAAATTATAGAATTTCCCTGAAAGTACARTGGAAGCACTCGATTTATGAATATTCTATGCAATAACTTTTTTTGCTTGAAATCCTGTATGGGTCATTGCTTTTTTTATTATTATTTATTCTATATTTGTGAACACGGGTTTCCTCTGTTATCTTGTGACCATGGGAGACTGGTAAAGTGAAAGCTTGTTTTTAACGGTCAGCGGCTGATCGCAGGGGAAAACCCGGACGAGAATCGACTGACTAGAAGGTGTTCCGAGGCCGCTCGGTATTCGAGAAAAAAATCATATCTCCATGTATAAACGACAAAARCAAAGTACGCGAGAGTCAATCAAATYTTGTGTAATTRCCAGTTGTAATAAAGCRGGGTGCATTCCATGCAAGAGTTTATGCGATTTTTAGAACGAGGTATTTCTTTTGTCATGGTCTCGYAGACAGACGGCTTTTCCCGTCCTCGCACACAAACCAYACAAGCACACGTGTTCTTTGAAAAGATCGTGATTTTTGGGTAAAACAAGTAAACAATACAACTAAATCATAGTAAAGAAATGTCTGTGGGTTTAGTAGTACTAATAACCGTAAAATAAAGAGTGTCAYCGACGAYCTTTTGTGTGATTTTTCGTCTTTGACTCCCTCGTAACGCATATCCGTTCTTGATGTCAAAATCATGAGCACCACGCGGGCTAACTCGAGTGTCAATCARTGGAATTTCGTTCTGCTATTGGCTCAATGATCTGACATAACCGGTCAAACCTGTTTTTGAAAGGAACTAATTTCGCGCTGTCAGTAATCGAATGCTGTGCCTGTTTGCTCGCTTTGGGTGGATTATAGTTGTTGTTTGCGATTTTCCGTGTTGAATTTGCTTCCTTCCCCTCCCAAGCTTTCGTTAAAATGCCTAGCAAGAAAGGTGCTGCTAAAGCTGATGCTAAACCAGAGACTCAAGCGGAAACACAGGAGGAAAAACCAGTAGAAGTGGAAGAAACTAAAGAAGATGTCGAAGAGACAAAAGCTCCAGAAACAGCAGCTGCCCCGAAGAGAGGACGAGGACGACCAAAGAAGGACGGTTCAGAACCGAGTGTTAAGAAACCAAAAAAAGTAAAAGAGCGAACAGAACCATCTCGAGTAAGTCGTAGAGTAGCTAACATGAARACTGGAACAACAGAACCTGAGCCAGATACCGAAGAACCGAAAAAGAAAACCAAAAAAGTCGCCAAGAAAGCTCAAGCAACAGAAKAAGATGACAACAAAGATCTGTCTGCGCCTAATGGCACTACAGAACAAGCCGTTTCAAGTTGATTGAACTCTTCTTCCAACTCAAAAACATCTGCGAACATTACAACTAAAGAAATTTAGACATTTTCTGGTTTTGGAGTAGCTTTAAGCTACTTTGAATAGTGATGCTCAAGACATTTGCCCTATGAAGACTCCTTTCATTTTGTCAAAACAATCTTCATCTATCCAACTTATACATTTTACTACAAGAAAACAGCCGACTTCCTTGTTTTCTATAATTTTTGGATTTCATACTATATTCGTTCGTGTTTTAGACTTGTCTAAACTACACAATGCAACGGCGTTCGTCTTTGCGTTTGGCATGCGTGTGTGAAGCCATATTATTCTGATCTTTACAGTTTTATTTCATTCTTCATTCATTGCTTTGTAAATCTAGTTTTACTGTATTATTCAGACGTACATTTTTATGTAAGATTTAGATGATTTAACAGGAAGAATAAATAAACTTTTTAGAAAGTCGTCTTGCGTATGTTTTGAACCTTTGACTCTGTCAAGCATAACAATGCCAGGCTTCTGTCTGGTTTGSTAGCTTTTGATTTCTGCTTCGAGGAACTGTGCTTTTGTATTCCCTGCTTATATTTACAAACATTAGTTTTATGAATAATKCATTTTTAAAGTTATTTGTATGATCAACTTTAAAGTTTCAAGATTTCCTCAAGAAARCATAATATTTCTGATTCCATAATCTTTCTACAATCTACACTCTAGTGATAGTGTTTTCAAAGTAGAAAAGGTAAAATGAAACAGCATTTTCCACATTATTGGTTAAGTGCTAAGGTCTGTTGCYTGTAAAGGACCATAGCTTAACTAAGCTTTACTCCTTTTAATATGATGCAATTTCAATTTTCAATTGTTACAACTTTCATTAAGAATATAACAAAATTTCTATTTAGAGTCTTAGAGTGAACGCACCTAATCCAACCAAATTAACTAATCTCTTTGTACTGTGTTTTGTGCAATTTTGAACCWGTAAATGGTGCTCTTATATTCTATTTGTCATTCAAAGGATGCTGTGCTTCAATTAAGGTTCAGCACACATTTATGCAATTTGATTTTGTACGATATTTCACAAGTTTAATACTTCACTCTACTTAGTGMCACATACTTTGTGACAAATCTCATCATAGTTAGTAGGAGACTAGTCTCCCACTATACTACAATCGCATTAAAGTAGCGAGAGGTGCCACTATTGTGCAAATGTCATTTTTAGTCTCGCTCTTGCTGCAAGAGAAGAAAAGGCCTTTTACCTGCTTGTACTTCCTTCCCACTCCAGCTATGACAGCCTTTTTGAATTAACACAGGAATCCCAAGGAGCAGAGGCATTTATTTCAACTCCGTACTGTTAAAGGAGCCATCCCAGGATGATGCTTGTGTGCTATTGTTTATGTACACAACACTTTGACTGTAAGACCTTGTTAAACTCATTTGTAACATGAGCAAAGAGCATTCCCGCCCTATGCATAGGAGTTTGTTCACCCAGGAAATCTACATCATATTTTATAAAATTTTTGATATATAACGCACGCTCTGATTGGCTGACGACCGTGTTTATATTAGAGGACAGAGANCAATATACCACAGCCTTTATTTTTCTGATGAGAAAACTGAGCATGATCTGATAATCTGGATRCAAGAATGGTGTAAAATATGTTGTCCGATACTGCACAGTGTACCAGTGTTTGCCATACTAAATAAGATACATTCAAAATGTTATCATTTTTGTAAACTTTTATTGTTAGATTATATACACTATTGCTGTATCATCAATCTTTTTTAGAAAAACAATATTTACAAGATTAAATATAGAATTTTTTTTCTATTTTACAAAGTCATTTACAACAATTTACAAATACCAAATTCTAGTTTTAATGGAAATAAAATAGATGATAAATTTTAGTAAACCACAGGTCTTCTCTGCCCATCCTTAGGAGGGGTGGGTGGGAGAGGTTTTGTTTTTGTAAGTCTTCTCTCATGTAAAGGCATGTTTGGAATAGGGTCCAGTCTTGAGGAGCTCATTAGTATTCCAGTGTTCTTATTGACAGTTTTCTTAATGCTTGTCTTGGAATTGAGAGGATTAATGACACCAACTTGTGGTGATGAATTGAACACTTTGTTAAAGTTGGTCTCTCTGTTGAGGAGTTCCATCTGGAAATAACGCTTTTCTTCCTGGAATTAAAAAAAAACATTGTATTTGTTAACACTGGGCAGCTCAAAGCGACCTAAACAGATGTTATTGTAAACATATGTATTAATATAAATCCCATTTAGTCATCATAAATCCCATTTAGTCATCATAAATCCCATTTAGTCATCCTTACCAGGAGTTTCTTCATCTCCAGTTCCCTGTCAGCTAAAGCTCTCTTTAATGTATCTAACATTTCCATGTCTTCTGGTCTGGATTCTCTGTTTTGGAAACGAATCTCTGCCTCATCCAACCTTTACAAGAAAATGGAAACTGGTGAATAAGAGAATTATAGCTAAAACCACGGCCCTCGGGCTTTATATAGCGTAATGCCGACGTGCGAGGTAACTAACTCTTACATAACACTACTCCCTTCCCTTCATCCCATTATATAGGTGCATCAAATAAAAAAAATGAAAATTTTGATCTTCATTTCATATCTTGCCTTCAATGTGACCTTTGTTGGATCATGCTTATTATTTTTTGGTATATGTTTTGAAATAAATCTGGTAATTTCAGATGTTTATGCTCAAATCCCCAGCCTCAGATAGAAGAATACTTGTACATTGCCAATCTACTTACATGAGTTGCAGAGCTGATATCTTGCTGTTTTGTAAATCTTTTGCTCGGTTAAACTCTTCAACTAATGCTTGTGTTTCCTTCAAATGATCTGATGACAGCGAATCTACTTCTTTTTGATGAAGCTTACCAAGATGCTCCTCTCGTTTCCTTTAAACAAACATTTTTCATAATATTAAAAGAATTTATTTAAACAGTTTACTGTTAATGAAATACTTGACGTTTACTAATGATTAAAAATTAACATTATACATGTGCATGTASCTAAACATTCTGATACCCAGATCCTTCTCATTTTCCCAGTGAAATAATTGAAGTCTCTATTGGAGACAATAACARAAGACCCAAAATCTGGGTTGTATAATGATATGATGCACTGGGATTTTTTAACAAACCAAATCAGAATCATTGTCTTTGACTTTGTTGGGAAACTGAGGGAAATCTGGGTGTAAGAATAGTAGCTGGAAGTAAGTAAGTAGACACTGAGAGGTTCAACAAGCACAATTTTGCCACTGATGACAAGTAAGTTTGCTACATGTTGTACTTCCCACACTCACTAGCCCAAATGCACATTCACTAGTAACATCCATGAAATAGCTTGCTAGCCACATACCTGATTTGTGAATTGGTTTCTCTTCTTATTTTCAAAATCTGATAGCCTTTCTCCTGTAATTCATCTTCMAGTTGGGTCACATTTTGTTTCAATCCTGACAACTCATTATCCAGTTCTGATAACTGAGAGTCACGCATTTCCACCTCATTTTTGATGTCCTCTAGTTTCATCTGGTGTTCTGCTTCCTGTAATCACA